TGTGTATTTATCATTCATGAGCTGATCTACTCTGTTTGTGACCTCTCCTGAGATGAGTTTTGTCATCTGCCTGCTGTGTAATGAAATTTTCTTTCGTGTGTGTGTGTGTGTGTGTGTGTGTGTGTGTGTATGTATGTATGTATGTGTGGCATTTATTATTTGGAAGAACTTATTTTCCTAAGACTTAACCTTTTAGTATTCTGATTTGATTTTAATCAAATTTTTAAAACCTACAAATCAGTCAGCTGAATCTTGAAACACTGTTTAGTTGAGCAAGTTTACCTAAGCCTTTCCCATAAACATCCTCCATTTCCCTTCATTACAACCATTATTTATCCCTCAATGTACCCCAAACACCACGTATACTTAGGCAGTACAAGTACCTCAGCCTACATTTATCTCCTGCCAAACTAAATCCTACACTTGCAACAGTTTCCACATCTTCTCACAGCCCCACAACCCTGTGATTTTACTGTTTCCACCATTCACTGGCACCAGCTCTGTACTGATCTGCTTCCAAGTAGTTACTGCTTTTCTTTCTATAACTCTGTTTACTTAAGCTGCCAGTAGGACTATGTTGTTAAATACTGAGCAATTTTGGCACTATTGAGGCCCTGATATAACTTACAATTGATCACAGCCTTCACAATTTTCAGTAACTGAACTACAATCCCTCTGGCCTGGCCCTCCACAAACTGAAGAGCCTTGAATCCTTTCACTGTGCTTCAGAGTAAAGTCTGACTTCTCCACAAGAATTTTTTTTTTTTTTTTTTTGTGGTACTCTCTCTCTCTCTCTCTCTCTCTCTCTCTCTCTCTCTCTCTCTCTCTCTCTTTTTTTTTGTGGTACTGGGGATCAAACCCAGGGCTTCACATATACATGCTAGGCAAGCACTCTATCACTCAGCTACACCTCCAGCAACCCCGACCCTTTATTTTGTGGTGCTAGGGATTGAACCCAAGGCAAGCACTCTACCAACTAAGCTACATCCCCAGTCCTTTTTAAAAATTTTATTTTTGATAGTCTCACTAAGTTACATAGACTGGCCTTGAACTTGTGATCCTCCTACCTCAGCCTCCCAAGTAGTTGGGATCCTAGGAGTGTGCCACTGTATCCGGCCCCATGACAACATTTCTTAAGGTGCTGTAGTCAAATCCTGTATGGAAGTTCTTTTCATGGTTGAGTAAAATAGACTGTTTTATTTCCATTGAAGCCTTCCTTGTCAGAAAGACCTACATGTGAATCTTGATTTTGCCATTTAATACCTTGTGAGCCTCTGTTTTCTGATGTTTAAAATGGTAATTACAAATCTCACGGGGCTGTCGAACCAGATTTGTCAACACAGGTCAAGTTTGCTATAGTGCCTGGAATACAGCAGGTCTACAGTAAGTATCAGCTGCTTTTCAAAGATGACTTTGAATGGGAGGTGTGAGGAAATCTAGTTGAGGTCATCGATGTTCTCTCAGGAAACAGAAGAGAAGCAGAGGTAGCATGTATCTTGCAAGAGTGACTTGCAGAGGAAGCACATCATTCACCAAAGGCCTTTGAAGACGTAAAGATTAGAGCTAAAACCATGGAATCAGGCAGATGGACCAGCAGGCAGCTTCTTCTCTGAAATGAAGCCAGTGGTCACAACTGGCACTGGAACTGCATCATAATGGAGACGAAGTAGTTGCTAATTCTGTGCACTGGTAAATGACTAATCAAGGCTAAAGCACCCATCAATATTAAGAACGTTAAAAATATAATCAGGAGCTGGGAGTGTAGCTCAGTGGTAGAGTGCTTCTCTCTCTCTCTCTCTCACACACACACACACACAATATCAGGGGCAATATGATATGATGTCACCACTGACAAATTTCTAAACTCCAGAAACTAACTGCATAGGCGTAAGTCAAATGGTACAGGCTACAGGTCTGGTTGGTTACCCAGCACCATGGCTTACCCTCTTCCCATCCTCCGCATAGGGCAGGACAGGCAACCTGTGAAAGAATGGACCTTTCATGTGTTCTCCCATGCTGAGGAACCTTTGGGAATTGTTTGCTGTAACTGACTCTTTCAGTCAGAAGGCCTTCTGTGTTGGCCACGGAAATATTTTTAGTTGGGAGAAAAATACTGATGTTGTGAGAGAAAAACAGAAAGCTAAACAAATAATATACACAATGATTGGTGTAACAGAAATAATTCTTAAAACCAAAAGGAAAATTTATGGTAAAATTCCTCCTGTAGCTTATTGAGATGAAAGCTAACTATATACATCAGGAAAACGCTGGTTTAAATGGGGAACTAGATGACTGTGACTGGAAAGTATAAGAATAAACAAGCAAGGAATGATACCAACAATTATATTAAGTAATTTCTAAAGTTTTTAAGAGCCATCAAGGATATCTACAAGTGTTTTCCAGGGGTGACAGGCAGGAGGAAAGTCCTTTTGAAATTTTTCATTTGAAGGCTTGGGAAATATTTATATCAGTGGCTGATCTCAAGGAGATACTGGTACAGAAGTGGAAGAAGAGAGAAGGAAAACAGATACAGAAACTAGTTCAGGAAATAGGCAGTAGACAGGCTGAGAGTAACGAATCAGGACCAGAGGGAAAACAGATAGATGTAGGGCAAGAACAGGGAGGAAAGAAAAAGAATGTTAATATCAAATCAAAAGGAGGTCCAGGTAACCCTTATCATAGTAAGACAAGAGAGAAAGCATTTCCTCCCTGTGCTTCTGTTATATCAGCTGCTTTTGGGACATTTAATCTTCCTTTTCCGTGCTTTCTAAGTCTAAGGCTTTTGGCTGCATTTGGGGGATTTATGGATTAAAATATGCCTTACATCTGGCAATACTGAATATTCTCATGAAACCAAGAGCAGCCTCACAGGTGCCCTGCCATGCTGGACACTTCTGAGCACCTGATCTTGCTAGATAATCTAGAGACACATTTAGAAAAACTGTTGGGGGCAGGATGGGGTGTTGATAACATTCACAGAAGTGACTCTGTCTGGTTAGGAAAGTGTCACTCTGTCCTTTACCTGCTTTTTGCAGACTACTAGGAACTCCTTGGTGTTCCCCCACCCCCCAACTCACCATCCTATAAGCCAAATGTCAAAATTGAATTCATTTTTACTTCATTAGTAAATGTACCTCAATATATGTGTGTGTGTGTGTGTGTGTGTGTGTATTTGGTGCTGGGGATTGAACCCAGGGCCTTGTGTATGCAAGGCAAGCATTCTATCAATTGAATTATATCCCCAGCCCTCAAAACACATTTTTTATGATATAATTTTCCTCTTGAAATTACTGCAGATGCCCAGAAACATTATGAAATCATAGTTTTGACCCTTAAAACTTAAAACCACTGTGGTTGGGCTGGGGATATACCTCAGTTGGTAGAGTGCCTGCCCTGCATGCACAAGGCCCTAGATTCAATCAATTCCCAGCACCACACACACAAAAAAAAAAAAAAAAAAAAAAAGAAAGAAAGAGAAATTGTGGTTTATTATCCTAGAGACTGAGCTCTCAGTGTGGGGCTGGGGCTGAACTAGCTAACTTCTAGCCAACTGACCTGACCAAGAAAGCTTTAAACTGAAAATGGTGGGAAAGAAAAGCATTCCACTAAAGCTTGTGGAATATGCAGCTGCTCAGGACATCTGATCTGACTGCACAGAGAAGGGCAGGGTGTGCCCAGTAAATTCCAACAAGCGATTTCTGGGTGGAAGGGTAAGATCAGCATCTGAAGCCTCCAAAGCCCATGTACCAGTGATGGTACAATGGGTTCAAAGTGTGTACCAGGACTTTTAAGGAGAAAGCAGAGCGGAGATGATGGGACTTCAGAAGAAAACCATCACACTATATAATGGCTCGTAACAGTAAGGTACAAAAATGAAGAATAGGCCCACACAAGAGTTACCCAGAAGTTAGGGATGGAGATTTATTTTTCTGTTATTATTTTCAAACTTTTTATTATGAAAAATTTCAAATAGGCATGAGCAAGAATGGTACAACAAATTCTCCTGTGCCCATTACACAGCCCTGCCTCTTCTATCTGACCAGGGATAGACAAGGCAAGGAAGCTTCCAATGATGTACTCTTGGTTTTCAATCCCTTCACTTGGCATAATCTGTAAAGCATTATTTATTAATCTCAAACTTTCTAAGAGCATACCAAGGTCAGAATGACATTTGCTATAGGTAGTACAATACCTAAAGACAGATAGTAAAGTGGAAATTTGTGGACAGTTATGGGGTTTGAGAGTCACACAGAAGCCTATCCCAGTAAGCTTCCTCATTTTTTTTTTTTTTTAAACCAGTCCCTTTTATTGGGCTTTGATTCTCAGGATGTGAAAAGATACAGCAATGATTAAGTTCTCAGAGGGAACTGGAGCAAGGCAGTCATGGTTAGGAGTCCAGAGTACCCTGTGCACTGGCCCCTCTTCAGTGGTATCTGAGTCACTGCTCACATTTGTGTTCCTTGTAAGAAAGGCAGTAGTTGAAAAGCAGTAAGCTGCCAGCACCATGTTAATTCCAGCGATGCTTTTTCTTCACGCTGACGTATTGTTGTGACACGGCAGTAACCTCTTTGAACGGCTCCAACCACGCCTCTAGGGGTGAAATCCCACATCAATGTCCAGCTTGGCAGCTGCCCTAGCTTGACATCCATGAGTTTCTTCTTTGCTATTATGACTGATGCCATCTTGGAATTTGGGTGTCCACTGAGGCTAGTAAATTCATCTTGCTCAAGTACTTATTCTCCCTCTCCTATCTGAATGTACTTGGCAAAGCCAAATTGTCACTGGGGACAAGTTCTTTATGAAAGAACCCCAGCTAATCAGTGAAAAAGGAATGATAACATTAGAAATATCCAATTTTCAATGGTTACTAAAGCTAGGTGACGGACGACGGGGACTGCATTGTAGAGGAATTACACCATCCACGTAGGAAGCAGAGCCTGGAGTGGTAGGCTTGAAGTTACTCCACCCTCAGCTGCTTCCTCTTTTCCCCAAAGATGAACCCACCTGCGGCCTTCTTGTCAGGATCCACTTGCAACCTCCACAGTCTGCCATAAAGAGGCCTGACAAGAACACAGAACTGTTAAAAAGCACTGGGCAACTTGGGCTACCAGAAACTGCTGCGGCTCCGCAGCCTCCCACATACCCCATATCACAGGGCATTCGCATGGCATGTCTGATGTCCACCCATGGGGTGTTTAACAAATCCTTTGGTAAACATGTCAGCTTGCTGAGTGCTTACAGTGCACATGTTTATAAAACATATCTTACAGTCAACTTGGATGAGCTGAAGCAAGAGTAGGTCAGTTCCCCTTACTTCCCCCTCTAAACTCATATTTGTGATGTGGTTTTCTTGTAGCAGACTTACCTTCCTAATTATGCCTTCCCTAAGCTAATATGAAGACTAATTGGTATTCCCTAAGTACCCAGCAGCTGGGTTGGGGGTGGAGGAGATGGTCCTGGCTTACACTGGCTTGCTTAGAGAAACTGTCCAAGGATTTAAAATGTGTCACGAGTAATCTGCATGACAGATAATCTGTATGTGACGACTAAGATTTGTCTATATTTACATTTATAAAACCCACAGGCCACTTTGGCCTCTTTCTTTTCTTTCTTTTTTCTTTTCTTTCTTTTTTTTTTGTGGTACATCGGGATTTGTGGTAGTAGGTTAGAAACTAGGGCATTTACCATTGAATTACATTCCCAGCCCTTTTTGTTTTTAAAAATCTGTGACAGGGTCTTGCTAACTTGTCCAAGCTGGCCTTGAACTTGCAATCTTCCTGCCTCAACCTCCCAAGAAGCTGGTATTACTGGTATACCACACTTTTGATTTCTTAGGGCTCCTATGAGCATATGTAACATTATGTTTATAAGATTTAAGTTACCGAGAGAAAAAATCCAGTCCAAATTTGAGGTATTAATAATAATATGGACTTTCTCCCAGGAGTCAGAGCAACTGTATAATGGCTACTGGAGGCAGACTACAGGAGGAAGCAAGAATAAAGGCACATCTTGGTTCCAAGGGCTGCAAAGAAGGGCAGGTGCTAGCAGCCCGCTGCTCTACTCCCAGAAGTGTGTCCACACACCATTTTGTCTACTCAATGAACAATTCATATATGTAGTATTTACATGTTCTGTTTAAGGAGAAAAGAACTCTCTGGTCCAAAAGCACAGTGATGGAGTGACTAAAGGAAGAAAAAAATCAGGGAGAGAGTTCAAATTGGACATTCCTAAAATTAGATTCCTTTCTCATTTGCTATAATTCAGAATTTCTTATTTCTTTTTATGAGATGTAGGGTAGGGAAAGGATGCAAAAAAAAAAAAAAAAAATTTTTTTTTTTTTTTGGCAGAGCTAGGACTTGAGCCCAGAGCCAGAAGCATGCTAAGCAAGCTTTCTACCATTGAGTTATACTCCTAGTCCTTTTTTAAAATTATTATTTTAAAATTTTTTGTTTTGAGATAGGAGCTTCCTAAGTTGCCAAGTCTGCTCCAGAACTTTTGATCTTTCTGTTTCAGTTTCCCAATTATAGGTGTTTGCCACTTAACTCAGCTAAGGATGATATTCTTGGATGAAAAACATTTTAAAACATGAAAAAATGAAGAACAGGCTAGGTAGTAACATGGCTGGAAGGAGTTGTTCAGAAACATTCAAATTTCTTTTCACCCCTCCACCAAGATAAATAGAAATTCCAAGACCTCCTGAAGCAGTCAACACATTTCAAGAGGTTCAGACCAATCTCTAAAAGCACCATCCACTAGAATTCCCTGTTAACAATGAACACATTCTATTTGTGTGCTGTACAACATTGTGGCTACACAGCAATTGAAGATGACTGATGTGACTGAGGAACTAAATTTTTAATTTTATTTATTTTAATTAATTCAAGTTTAAAAATTATAATGATCTAAATCTTTCCAGTTTCTACTATGCCAGACTCCACATCATGAATGTGCATCAGACACACACACACACACACACACACACACACACACACACACACACACAGTATAACACTATAAGAGTTGCCTTTGTTTGGATGAAAACTCAGTCTGAACTTGGATACTTTGTATTTCCCAGACATTTCCCTTATTTATATCATGGTTCTTTCCTATATTGCTTACTTCCTCAACTTTTAAATGCTCTCCAGCCCCTTAGGCCCATATGTGAGAAACTTTACTAGCATTTAAGAACAATTCAGTGTAGCTGTAAGCAGTAAAGAGATGCTGGACCAGGTAAAGTCAGAAGAATTGCTGGACACCTCTTTAGTGAGCCAATCTGATAGCAACGCCTTTGTAGTCTTGCTCAGAGCAGTGTCTCAGTTTCCATATTGAGACCCCTTCAATGATTCTCAGATCTAATTGCTGGCTTTACAATGGCAAAGATGTTTTTATCAATTTCATTTTGAAAACTCCACTTAGGCTCTGAAAATCTCTAAATTGGGGTCTTACTAATAGAAGACTTGGTGTAATTATAATGTCACAGGCAATTGTGATGACAAAGCAAAACCAACATGTCTCCTTGCTGGGCCTTTGCTCTCAGTCTGACCAACAGGAGGAGAAAAGAGGCTTTGTCAGGAACAGATGTGCAGTGGGAGGCCCCGGGAAAGTAGATCTGTTGAATGAAGCAGGTGCCACTTAGATATTCACTTTACTGACTCCAACCACAACCCCCTTCATTTGATATCCTGCTCCTGGCAGGAGGATGGAGAGAGAACATCACACAAAGAGGAAGCGTGTTTATCCTGTTCAGATTACTACTTCTGTCAGTCTGCTGCTGTTGGGTTCTGCACATTTGCTCTTTATTAAAGCAAATGGCAGAACTGGGCTCTGGGAAGTGAATCCCTATATTTATACAGGTAACCTGAGAGCCAGAGGGCCCCACACCATCCTGGCTGCGATGTGCAAGCTATTAGAGTTAATAACAGTGCACTGACATTCCTTCAAAATCCTAATGGAAATGAAAACAAAAAGAGGAAAGTCTCCTCTACTCAAGAACCTTAAAAATTTAATTCTATAAGAATGTCCTATTATGATATTCTAGTTCAACAGCGACAAGTGCCTCCTTTACACACTCAATTAAAACTTACTTTTTCATCCATGAATTGCACAAAAGTGACTCCAATTAAACTTGTCCAATTATGGCTCTGGATTTAGTGTACACATACAAAGTCCCTTAGAGAATGCTGATGACAGGCACTGAGATTCTGTTTCCTGTCATTCTGTAGGCATGACCCCCAGCTAAAGGAGCTGGAATCATTTTAGACTTTTTTATACACTGAGTCTCAGAAAGATCTGAAGACCTAAGAGGAAGGTGAATGAGATACGGAAGCATTCAACTTGGTGTTCAAGTGCCAGATGACAGAAACCTTCTAGGAAACTCTGCCTAGCAGCCCTGATTCATTCTTCTGCTCAGAATGTCCCTAGCTCAGATTGGTGTCCTGTTCATAGAATGTTCCCCAAGCTGGAAATATATGAAAGTCTGTAAAGCAGATGAAGGCATGCCAGTTGGCTTGTCAATAGGTACTAATTCCTTCTGAGGCCCTGAGGAGTCAACTGGAGACATCCAGCCTTTAATATGGACAGTACCTCAAATCTACATTTGAAGGCCATGGACATGGCTCAGATGAATACTCAGAATAGTGACTAAGGTCTAGTGGCCTACCATTTCATTGTGAAGGCCCGCTATGCCCCTTTTGTTCTATAGTTTTAAAATCTTTGAGCAGTGGAGCCTAGATTAGCAATTCCTGGTGTACAAATAATGAATGTTCGAGACCACACCAGTTCATAAAGACAGAGGGAGAATGACACATCCCCTTGGGACTTGCAGACTGTGCAAGGAGAAAATGGGCTAAGCCTATGCTGAGGGACAGCAGATCTCTCACCGGGCAGTGCTGCTCCTTCTGAAGGTTCACAGTCTAGCACCTTTGTAGGAGGAGAAAGAATCCTCCAACTGGAAGCCCCTTTAGCTGTGGGGTCATGCCTACAGAATGACAGGAAAGGCCTGGAAATTCTGAGTCTCATGTGACTGAGAGAGATACTACACTTTCATCAGAGAATTCCTGAAGTAGAGATTCTCAGTGTGAAATTCATTATGTCCTCCCCACAAACAAAAACTTACAGGCCCAGGTCTTAAGAATGGTTCCCCAGAAATGTGAAGACTGAACCCTCTGAAGACTGATTCCCTTCCCCTTCAGTATGAGTTTTAATAATAATGATAACGGCAATATCAACAACAGTAATAATAGTAGGGCTGATAGTTAATAGTTATTGCATGCTCAGGCACTAAACAGAGTAGCAACAAATAGTCTGCTACCCCCAAATTAGTGTCACAATTACATCTCCCTGAATGGGAGAGACTGGGGAATCAGGAGAACTGCCACTTCCTTTTAAGATCTATTCTGGAAGGCATTTTGGATTTTGGGAGGTCATTCATTATGAAGGGAATAAGGGAAGGAGGACAAGTGTCAGGAGTGAAGAATGACCACCCAGCTGGCCCTTCTTCCCCTCAGTGCTGTGAAGAAGGTAAGCTGTTTGAGTGTTCTAGAATAGAGAGCACCTAGCTACAGTCACCTATAATCGTGAGGAGAAATTTGAATTTGTGAGAAATCTTAAATGAAAATATGCAAATGGCCTGTGTCATGAATAAAAAGACCAGGAAGGGAGTTTTGGTATCGCCACTGCCTCCGGTCTCAGGTTTTCTTGCTCAGGACTCTGCAGGGCATAAAAATAGTCCAGTTCCTCTTGCAACCCTGCTGTCTGCTGTTTACTGGCTACGGATTACTGCAGTCACATGGGTAGCTTTTTTTCCCCCCAAAGCAAAGCCATGCTGAAAAGGTCACTAGGAGACAAGGCTCATGAAGGATTCGTGTGGCCCTAACCTGCACTGAAGGGACACAACTTTTCAGAGGGCTACCTGCGGTAGCTATTAGATCAACACTATCCAAGAGAACTTCCTGCAATGATGGAAATAATCTGTAGCTGCTTAGTCTACTACAGTAGCCACTAGGTACATGCATCAACTTAAATTTAAATGTGAATAAATCATAATTAATAGCCAGGCATG